TGTTCTTCTATTCGAGTGTCGTTCTTGTTTAGATCGTGCGGTTCTTGATGCGTGCATATTCAATGGCAAAAGTGGAATGTGTAAAAATGCACATGTGTTTGTCTAATGCAAAATATAGCGGCACGGTAAAGATCACTCGACTTTATTATATGCATACAACAAATAAACAAAAAACAAATAGGCCTACAGTTTGAGAAAAAATCTTATGCGGACCAATTATTCTCTTAAAGGTATCATATTTCCCAAACCTACTGAGGCCCCCAATTGGCAGAACGTTTGTGTAAGGAATTTCCATTTCTTACTGAGTCGTACGCTAGCGCGTAAACCCGATTTCTTCGACTCGTCACGTTCGGCCTCATTTTTCGGCCCAACCCTTTCCCGAGTCGTGTCCGGCACTGTCGCCACATTGCCGAACCTACCCACGTTCCGAGGTTATCACCCTAGTACGCCAACCCCTATATAACCTCATGCCTTTCATTGCAATAGCGACCTTGTATTCTCACGTTATAGTTCATTAACATCTCCTATATCATAACAGCTGGTATCAGAGCCCGAGCTTTCCAGGAACCTTCCGTTTTCTCGTTAATTAATTAAGGGTGGTCAGAGGTGATTAGCACGCCTGCACAGCAATTGTTTTGCATCGTAAATATTTTTACGTCAACAACTATAGCGTGTCCGCTAGCTTCTGCCTCCTGACCGCCATGGCCCCATTAGATTCCACGGTTGAGGAACAGTCCACCTCGTCAGTTGCGAACCCTGCTCGGGAAACTGTGGACCTGCAAACAGTAATGGAGTAGTTGAATAATTTGACAAGCGTCGTCAACAACCTCCGCGACGAGAACCAACGGCTTCGACAGGCGCAGGAGAGGCGTTCAGAGGAGCTGGGCGACGATTCCGACTCAAACAAGGCACGCGGGACTCTATGCATGTGAAAGCAGCTGTGATCTGTATCCGAGTACACCGCGTCATTCTTGACGTTGGTGGACAGATGTGGCTACATGCACGAGTTGGAGAAGGTCGACAGGTACATGGGCAGTCTGAAGCCTGAAATATAGTACCAGATAAAACTGCAACGCCCTGCAAAGCGGTTACAAGACTACATCTAGCTCGCCGAAGCCGCGGATTCGATCACGATGCCGAGGACGAACTTCTACGACGGAGGTCGCCTTCGAGAACAGTACCAGCGCGCCACAATTGAAGGGGTGGACGCAGTGGATATTTACGCAGTTGCTCCGCAAAATACGAGGCTATGCTATATCTGTGGCCGGCCGAGTCACATCCGACGCAACTGCCAAGAATTCATAGCCCTCCAGAATTCTATGGGGAAGAAGCCGGAGGAGCGACTGGGAAATGGGTCGTCTCAGTAAGCACCGGGCTCCTTACTGACGGGCAGGCTTCTTCGCCCGAGCCACACAGTCCCCACCGGGTCGTGATCCCAATTGTAAAATTTTGGATGGGGCTGCTGGCGACTACTCTCGACGAGTGCGATGTGCTGCTGGGCATGATTGGTTGCGACGGTACAACCCAAAGATCGACTGGGGGATGGGCGGCTCTAGCATAAAGCTCGATGGGATCTCCCGCGAGCTACCAAAATGGACGGGGCCTCGCATGCGAAGCACCCAAGTCTATGCGATAACTTTCAAGCGCACGATAAAAGCGGGAGCTGCAGCGTACTCCGTTGATCTTCGCGAGGTGACGTCGACGACAACAACCGAAGATATCGCAAACTTGTGCGAAGCCATTCCTCCGGAATTAGCGGACCTGATTCGGAAATACCCCAAGATTTTCCCGGACGACCTGCCAGCTGGACTTCCGCCGAGCCGACCAGAAGACCATCGCATCGAGCTGGAATCAGGTGCCCAACCGACAGTACAGCGACAATTTCGTCTCAACCAACCAGAACTGGAAGAATTGCAGCAGCAGCTGGATTACCTTCTGACAAAGGGATTTATCCGGCCCAGCACGTTCCCATACGCCGCCCCGATACTGTTCATGCCGAAGAAGGATGGCGGATTCAGAATGTGCATCTACTACCACGTGCTCAACAGGATCACCATAAAGTCGCGTTACCCGATCTCGCGAGCCAACGAACTACTCGACCAACTTCGCAGAGCCAAGTTCTTCTCGAAAACCGACTTGCGAAGGGGTCACCATCATATTCGCGTCGCCGCAGAGGATTGTCACAAGACGGCATGTCGAACCCGCTACGGCAGCAACGAATACCTGGAGATGCCTTTCGGCCTCACGAACGCGCCCTCGACCTTCCAGATTACCATGAACGTCATTAGCTACCTTGACGACATCCTAATCTACAGCCGCAGCAGGGAGCAGCACTTAAAGGATCTTGATGCAGTCTTCACGCTGCTGCACAAGAATCGTCTCATCACGAAAGGGTCTAAGTGCGACTTTTTTAAGCAGGAGTTGGAGTTTTTGGGCCACATCGTTTCTACCGAAGGAGTGAAAATCGAACCCAAGAAAATCAAGACCATACAGGAGTGGAAGCCGCCAAGCAACATCAAGGAGCTGCAAAGTTTTTTTAGTTTCGTCAACTACGTCCGCCGGTTTATCCCTCATATGGCTGGGTTATCTTCCCCGCTAACTAACCGACTCAAGTATCACGATTGTTTTTGGTGGGGAGAGAAGCAGCAAGCTGCATTCGACCAACTGAAGATCGCCCTCACATCGCCGCCTGTCCATCGCATCTCCGATCCTGACCGTCCATACGAAGTCATCACCGACGCCAGCGACATCGCCATCGGTGCTGTTTTCCTACAGGATTTCGGCGACGGATTACAGCCGGTCGCCTACAAATTACGGAAGCTGCAGGGCGTGGAAAAAAACTATACAGTACTCGACAAGGAAATGCTGGCGATCGTCCATGCGTTCAAGACCTGGCGGTGCTACCTGACAGGTGCTGACGTCACGGTGCGGACCGACCACAAATCCATCCAGTACATGTAAGCCCAACCGAATCTCAACCCGGGACAGATCTGATGGTTCGATTTCCTCGAGTTGAATTTCCACTACACCATCACCTACAAACAGGGCGCCAATAACACTGCCGATGCCCTTACTCGACCCACTGCCCAAACAGCCGCCATACTAGTCGCCAAGACCAGCCCACTGCTTACCAGACTATTTACCCACGGCTACAAAATCGACCCCGACTTCCACTCTGCTATTCATCAACAGCATACCACCGCAACCGTACACTATTTTAGTAAGCGCGACACTTCCCGCATCTGGGTACCCGGCTACGATTTACTTCATACCCTCCTAATCCAGGAATCCCACGACAACCCTACATCCAGGCATTTCGGAGTCGACAAAACTATGAAAACGTTGCATCGCAATTATTATTGGCCGAACATGGCCGACGACGTGCGCAAGTACGTGTCCTCCTACACCGCCTGGCAGATCATGAAATCATCCCATTAGCGAGCAGCCAGACTACTACAGCCGTTGGATCCGCCCGAGCGACCCTGGCAACACATCACGATGGACTACGTGACAGGATTGCCGGCCGGTCCCAGCGGAAACGTCGCTATCCTCGTGGTCCTTGACCGACTCACGAAAATGGCGCACTTCATCGCCCGCCAACAGAAAATTACAGCTGAGCAAACTGCCCAACTGTTCATCGCCAACGTCATTTGACTGCACGGACTGCCAATCGCCATTGTTTTAGACCGAGACCCGAAATTCACATCGAATTTCTGGCGCCACCTGTGGGACCAATTCGGCACCAAACTACAGTTTTCCTCCGCCTACCACCCACAGACCGACGAGCAGACCGAACGAGTCAACCAAACTATGGAGCAACTCATTCGGACTACTTGCACTGACCCACAGACATGGGAGAAATCCCTTCCGCCGCTGGAATTCGCGTATAATGACGCGCCCTCCGCCACAACCAATCAATCCCCATTTTTCCTCAATTACGGACAGGGCCCTGTAGTACCCTCTATCCCGAACATCGAGACACCCGTGCCTCGGTCCCAGAATGTCGAAGACATCCTCGCCGCCCGAGAAAAAGCAGCTAAGGCAATCAGGAAAGCTAACCTGGTCGCAAGCCGACAAGCCGATCGTCATCGACGTGACGTCACTTACAAAGTCGGAGATCTCGTACTACTCGACACTCGCAATTTGCGTCTGCCAATCCCGAGCAAGCTCCAACCTAGATTCTGTGACCCTTTTCAAGTGACAAATATGGTGACACCTGTCACTGTTCACCTTCGACTCCCGGCTGATTGGCGTCATCACCCGGCTTTCCACGCCAGCCTCCTACGGCCCTACGTTCCCAACTCGTCGGAGTTGGCACGCCACCGCAGTGTACCGCAGTTGACGCCCCTGCAGGAACCGACAACCGAGCCCTTGAAAAATCTCGGCCATCGAGTCATAACGCAGCTGAACCGTCGGATGGTGGATTTCCTCGTCAGATGGCGCGATCGCACGTCAGAAGATGACAGTTGGGTGCCCCACGCTGAGCTAGAATCATACCTGATTCTAACATCGTATTATCAGTGTCGGAATGTTTCCGATGCCCGCGGTCTCGTTTAGGAGGGGGGGGGGGGGGGGGGGGGGGGGGGGGAGGGTATAGTGTAAGGAATTTCCATTCCTTACTGAGTCGTATTCCTTACACTACGAACTCCTCGACTCGTCACGTTCGGCCTCATTTATCGGCCCAACCCTTTCCCGAGTCGCGTCCGGCACTGTTGCCACATTGCCTAACCTACCCACGTTCCGAGGTTATCACCCTACTACGCCAACCCCTATGTAACCTCGTGCCTTTCATTGCAATAGCGACCTTGTATTCTCACGTTCTTTTTCATTGATATCTCCTATATCATAACAGTTTGTAAGGGGTTGCTACGCAACCCAAAAACGAAGTACGAAAAGGTGTATCGAATCGCGTTTCTTGTGTATGTGCGGAGGTGCTCCGAAACAGGGCCCCGCGTCCCCAAATTTTGTGCGGCAGGTGTGCTTGTCCTTTTTGGGCGGTTTTTAGGGTTACAACCCTAAATATGGTAGCGGAACTCGGTGCTGAACAGGGTACGAACTTTTATGACGATCAGTCTCCTCTCGCGTCTCTCCTCCCAAGCTCAGTTGTGGTTAGGCCTGCTACTTGAACGGATACACCTCTCGCCGTGATCCCTCTTTGGCAACCATGTCGCCTCAACCTCCCGCGCCGCCGTCCTCGTCGTCGCAATCGACGGTGGAGCTGGCTGCAGCGATCGAGCGGTCATTGTCGCGCGTGCACGAGCTGGAGCGCACTGTCACGCTCTTCCACGAGTCCAACCAGCTGCTGCTCCTCGATCGCATGTCCGTCGCCCGTCGCTCTTGTCCGTCGCTGAGCGAAAATGAGAAACTAGCTTCTACTTTCTCGCGCAATCTGCTCCCTTGTAGTTCCAGCGTGCCTTTCTCGGCTCTCACTCTCCTTCGCCCCTCTCAGTTCTCCCGCCGGTCGTTCACTCCACTCGCTCTCGCTGACTTGCGCTTCTGCTCTTAACGGTTTTCCCTCCCCCGTTTTCTCGCCCTACCCGCTCCCATCTTGTGATGTCCCCTCTCCCTGTCTCTCCGTTCTTCCCCCACCTCACCCCCCCTCTTTCCCCCACTTTCCCCCATTCCCCCCTTTCCCCCCATCCCCTTTCTCCCCCCCCCCCTCTCCCTGGCGCCAGCAACGGCCTGGTCACGGGGTTCGCGGAGCTACTCAGCGCAGCGGAACAGTGCGAGGCTCATGTGCCGCTGGGCGTGCTCAGGTGATTGCAACAGAGGGGGTAGTGTGAAGGCCAGAGCGCGCTGTTAGGGCGTGAGGCAGGGTGGGAGCGGGGAGCGGGGAAAGGGGCAAGGTGGTGGTGGTGGTGCGTGTAATACTCATACCTGACTAGGATGCTGGGCTAGCGGTATTCTATGGAGCGAAGGCCTGCATGGGTCCGCGCCTTGCGGACCTGGCCCCCCAGCCACGCGAGCTGTGCCTGCCTGGCCCGCAGGGAGGGAATGCGGGCGTGCCTCACAGATGTCAGTTTGCTCCCATCCATCCATGGCATGATATGGCATGATATGGCATGATTTGGCATGCACTGCATGGCGTGGCGTGGGTGGTGCGGCGGCCGTGGTGGTGGCACTGGCAGGTGCGTGGACGAGGGGCGCAACCCCAACGAGGTGACGCGCGAGCTGCTGCGCGGGTGCGTGGAGCACAACGCCTCCACCAAGGGCAAGGTCGACGCCTTCAAGGTCAGCCGCACGCACGCACACGCTAACAGGCACGCACGCGCTCACAGGAACGGGCAGCTGGGGATTGGGGAGAGGCAAAAGGGGGGAGTTGTTAGATAAATGGGCGGGGCCATGAGGGTGTGAGGGCGTGGGGCATGAAGGCATGGGGCATGAGGCATTGCGTGAGAATGTGCACGTATGAGACAACGTCTTGTCCTCAGCCGGCAGAAACACCTTGTTTGAGGAGCAGCTGGGCAATAAGGTTTGCTTGCACTTGCCAGTGTAATGTAGCTTTCACCTTAATCTCTTTGTTCCTACAATAGTAGTTAGCCTGTCCCGTCTATTTCCCCCATTCCTCCCCTCCCGCCGCCCCCCTTCACTCCCTCTCTCTCACTCTCTCACACAGTCCCTCACACACACCATCACTCCCCCACTCTCCACGTACTCGTCTTTCTCCCGTTACCCTTTCCCCCGGCTGCCACTGGTTCTGCCAGGCATTGCGCTCGCAGCTGCTGAGCGAGATGGACCGGGTGTTTCCTGAGGAGACAGAGGCCTACCGCGACCTCCGACTGCACTCCCTGCAGGCACGTTGCCTTCCTTTGCTCCCTCCTCCTCCTCCTCCTCCTCCTCCTCCTCCTCCTCCTCCTCCTCCTCCTCCTCCTCCTCCTCCTCCTCGCATGACCTCGCATCACCTAGCATGACCTCGCATGGCCTCGCATCATTCTCCAAACCGTCTTCTGCTGACGTGTCTTCTTCTTCTCCCTCTGTGTCCGCTTTGCGCTCTTGTGTGCCCGGCCTGTTTGGTCGAGCAGTTGGCGCATAAGGAGAGGGAGGCGGCACAAGCAGCAGAGGCAGCTAAAGCAGCGGAAGAAGCCAAAGCAGCAGAAGAAGCCAAAGCAGCAGAAGAAGCCAAAGCAGCCGAGGCGGCACAAGCAGCCGAAGCTGCTAGAGCAGTAGAGGAAGTGAAGGCAGCAGGGGCAGCCAAAGCAGAGGAGGAAGCACGGGGTAAGGCAGCAGGTGTGAATGGGGAGGGAGACACTGAGAAGGAGATGAATGGCGGAGATGTGAGGGGGAGGAACGAGGGGGTGGAGGACATGGGAGATGGGCTCAAGCAGAGGCAAGGGGAGGTTGAAGGTGTTGTGAGTCAGAGCAATGGCCTTACCTCCGCTGGTGCTGATGCTTCTGCTGTTACTGCTGGTGTTGCTGGTGCTGCTGGTGCCGCTGGTGCTCGTGATGCTGGTGCTGGTGCGGTGAACCAAAGTGGAGAAGCAGGGCCAAGTATAAGGGTAGGGGAGGATCTGAAGGCAGAAGAGCCTGCAGGTGACAGGAGTCCAGGGCAGGGAGCTGTGGCAGCATCAGCAGGTGCAGGGGCAAATGCTTCCGCTGGGGATGGTGTAGGTGAGTTTGCACCAGGTGTCGCTGATGATGCTGGTGGCGATAGTGATGATATGGTGGAGTGGGACAAAGATGATGGGAAGGGGGTGTTAACTGTCGGCATGGAACTTGGAGGTGAAACAGGTGTGATGGACGTTCAGGGAGCAGGCATGGGAGCAGGGGTTTTGGAGCATGTGAACAAGAGGAAGGCTGAGGATGTTTTGGCTAGTCGAGAGAAGGGAGGATCTTCGATCGATTGATGCAAGGGAGGACAGGGTTGGTTCAAAAGAAGCACAGACTAGAGAAGAGTTCTAAGAATAATGAATGAGATCATGAGAGCTTACAGTTGTTGCCATATTGCTATGTTGGGCTGTGGTTTTTCTTTTGTTTTCAAGGCATTCCTTGTATCAAAGTGAGAACTGAATGATGAGTAGAGAGAGAGTACAGGTGAATATACCCAAGTGTTGTACCCTCTAAGAGGTGGCCCTATACAGTCTATGCAAACATAAGAGATACACATGTTTGACACACCCCCTAGACTGCATAGGGGCAGGTCTTGAACAAGCAGCTCAGGGCGGCACTACTAGTCCAGCCTCTGAGACAAGGGTCCAAAAGACCGGTCATAAGGACTACAGACAAGGAAAGAACAAGACCAGGGCGGCACTACTAGTCCAGCCACTGGGAGAGGACACAAGTCCAGTCTGAGTATACATATAAAGGGCAGTACAAAGTCAAGGCCCTAGCAAGTGAGAGGCTACAGGAACTAGACCAAGCTGTACACAGTGCCGCTGATGATCTTTAGGCGCAAGCACCTTCGTAAAGATATCAGCTGTGTTGGCACCTGAGGCCAAGTGTACTACGCGAGCCTGGCGTCGCTGCTGTAGCTCGCGCAGGAGGAAGTACCGCAGCTGAATATGCTTCGCTCTGCCCTCGAGTCGAGGCTCCTGACACAGGAGGATCATGGCCATGTTGTCAGCGAACAGGACCGGGGCAGAGCTAGGCCGCTCACCTAAGTCAGTGAGCAAGAAGGTCAGCCAGCGGAGCTCCTGTGCCGCCATGGCACCAGCGTAGATCTCGGCCTCACAGCTGGACTGGGCAACAGACGAGGAGCGGGTAGCTCTCCACGAGACGGCACCTGAACCAAGGCTAAAGCAGTAGCCCTGGGTAGACCTGAGTGTCTCGGCGTCGTCTGCCCACGAAGCGTCTGTGTGTCCAGTAAGGACCACTGGCCCACGTCCTCCTAGCACTAACCCTATGCCTGATGTACTAGCAAGATAACGCAAAACCCTCTTAGCGGCCGACCAGTGCTGCGGTCGGTGTCTGCCTGTGGCCACAAAGCGAGCCAGGATGCTGAGAGGGTATGCGAGATCAGGGCGAGTGCAAGTCATCAGGTACATGAGGAAACCCACCAGTTCTGCGTAGGGGCCGCTGGGCTCTACCGACTCCTCAGAAACTGGAGCAGAGAGTCTGTGGTCTACAGACAGAGGGGTGGGCTGTGCAGAGGAAAACTGAAGGCCGAACCTCTGAAGGACTTGACGCACCAAGTGTGACTGAATCAAGGTGATGGTGCGCGCTGCTCTGTCCCTGGAGATCTGCAAGCCAAGGTAACGGCGCAGCTCTCCAAGGTCAGTGCACGTGTGTCTCTTCAGCAGCTCTGCCTTCACTGAGGCCAGTGCGTCCCTGTCTGCTGTGTCAAAGACCAGGTCGTCGACGTAAACAAGTATGTAGAACGGAGTCTGGCCAGCACGAACGAAGAGTGAGGGGTCTGCGGAAGACGGAAAGAACTGCAGGTCAGCAAGGGTAGCACGCAGCATGTCGTGCCACTCACGGGGAGCCTGGCGAAGGCCGTAGACGGGGCGCCGCAGGAGCTACTGGGTCCCAGGAGGGAAGGTGCCAGTAAAGCCCTGAGGGCGACGCAAGTAGACCTGCTCGTGTAGGCTGCCCTGTAGGAAGGCAGTGGAGAACTCGAGGGAGTGAAGCTCGTAGTCGCGCTGAGCAGCTAGGTGTAGCAAAACCCGAAGAGTAGTCATCTTCGGGGTCGGAGCGAAGGTCTAGAACAAGTCCACCCCCTCACGCTGACTGAAACCTCTGCCACGTAGCGCGCCTTGAACACAGGCGGCTCTCCTGGAGGGCGCTTCACCTTGAAGAGCCAGCGGCCATCGACTACGTTCACCCCAGGCGGGGGAACTGCGTCGACGAAGGTGCCGGTGGATCTCCAAGATGCCATCTCCTGCTCCATGGCAGCTATCCACTGAGAGGCCCAAGGTCCCGAGGTCGCCTCAGCGTAAGTGCGAGGGGTCGGGATGTCGAAAGCGTCTGGGTCACCCTCAGGGACTAGCAGCATGGAACAGAGATGGGGAGCAGCCTCGGACAGGAAAGCAAGCCCAAACTGGCGGTCCTCCAGGACGTCACTGCCAAGGGCAGGAGCACCCCCGACAGACGGAGGACAGGCAGGGTCCGAGACCAGAGCGGTGGCGTAGTCAAGGCGGCGGGTAGAGGCGAAGTCAGCGACCGCAGCTACAAGAGCGTCAAGGCACGAGACCGGAACAGACGGGTCGGTAACGAGAGAGGCAAGGACCCGGGGAACAAGAGGACGAGCGCCACGAAGGTAGTCAGACAGCGGGGGGGGTGCAACAACAAGGGAGGACGGAGGAGGCGACGGCACAAGGGGAGGACGAGACGCGTGGGAACGAAGCAACATAGGGTGGGAGCGCAAGACAGGGTAGGCAGGACGAGCACGGGAGGGACGGTGAGACCAGACGTGAGACGGAGGAGTCGGGTCAGGAGAGAGGGGAGCGTACCGTCAAGGTGTGCGGAAAGCGGGTGGCCATCCTGCCGATGGCCAGTGAGGTGGCGACGGAGGTCGGCAAGCCACGCCTCGAACTCCAGAGGCTCGCCTTCAGCGTCGAAGCGAAGCTCCGCCGCCATCAGGAGCAGTGCAGGACTGTACAGTGCGGTAAGTGCGGTGCAGCGTGGTGCAGGGCGGTGTAGGGTGGTACCGTGCAGTGCAGTGCGGTGTAGGGATGGGGAACCGTACCAGGGAGGATGCAGGGCCGGGGCAGGGACGACGAGCGGGCCGCACACAGCTCGGGGCAGGACGGGCGCGGGGGCCAGAAGCAGCGGTTACTAGGTCGACGGGACGGGCGCGGGGCCGGCTGGGACGGGCGCAGAGGCCGAGCAGACGAGCGCGGAGGTCGCAAGGGCGAGCGCGGGGTCGGCTGAGACGGGCGCAAGTTAGGAGCGGCGGGGCCAGGCAGGCGCGGCGGGGCCAGGTAGGCACGGCGGGGCCAGGCAGGCGCGTCGGGGCCAGGCAGGCGCGGCGGGGCCAGGCAGGCGCGGCAGGGCCAGGCAGGCGCGGCGGGGCCAGGCAGGCGCGGCGGGGCCAGGCAGGCGCGGCAGGGCCAGGCAGGCGCGACGGGGCTAGGCAGGGCGCGACGGGGCTGGGCAGGGTGCGATTGGGCCAGGCATGGCGCGACGGGGCTAAAAGGCGTGACGGGGCCCAGGAGGGGCGCGACGGGGCCCAGAAGGGGCGCGACTGGGCTAGGGGGTCGCGACAGGGCCAGGGGGGCGCGACGGGGCCCAGGAGAGGCGCGACGGGGCCCAGGAGGGGCACGACGGGGCTAGGGGGTCGCGAAGGGGCCAGGGGGGCACGACGGGGTCCAGGAGGGGCGCGACGGGGCTAGGGGGGCGCGACGGGGCCAGGAGGCGCGGCAGGGCCCAGGAGGGGCGCGACGGGGCTAGGAGGCATGACGGGGCCCAGGGGGAAGCGGCGGGGCCTAGCTAGGGTACGGGCGGAAGCGGTAGGTGGGGGATCCTAACCTACGCGTGATACCATATCAAAGTGAGAACTGAATGATGAGTAGAGAGAGTGTACAGGTGAATATACCTAAGTGTTGTACCCTCTAAAAGGTGGCCCTATACAGTCTATGCAAACATAGAAGATACACATGTTTGACACCTTGTCCCCTCGCATGTCCTCCGTGTTCAAGTGAAAGAATGTCTAGAACGAGGCATACAAGGGAATATAACCTAATGGGTTGTGCTCCCTAAGGCACTGTTTGTTAAAAGGCTAGCTTAGCTAGGAAGCTAGGAAAGGCATGAGGTTTAGCTAGGAGGAGCCATGGAGTGGCGTGAGGTTTAGGAAGGAGAAAAGTTGGGGAGAGAAAAGGGTGTTGGAATAGAAAGAGAGAGGCATACAAGGAGGGGATGGTACCCTCTACAGTAAAGTTCGGTAAGGAAACAGGTGGGGGAGTTTCTCGGTAAGGAAACAGGTCCGAGTGCTTACGTGAGCAAAGCATCGCGCGTCTCGGGATTACGTCAGCATACCGCTTCAGTTACGCGAATAGGCGTAACGAGTCGTTTCAGTCACGCGAACAGTCGCGACCCTATAGTATGACGAATAGGTCGCATAGCGCGAAACTAGCCGAACAGGTACTTTCCCTAGAGCTATAAATCCTTGTAATGCCTTTCTATTATCAACCTTGACTTTCCACAGAAATATGTGCTCAGGTTATTCAACCTTCGACTACCCACAAGTTCATGTGCTCAGGTTCACTCTGATAAGACTTCCGCTATCTTACTATTCTACCATTTGTTAAAGAGGAAAACTAGGCAGTAGGCAGGAACAAGGCCGCCATGAATGTGGCGGCGGGGTTTAGCTAGGAGGGTAGGAAAAAGTGTCGAGAGAAAAAGGGGTCCTGATTAGGAAGAGAGAGGAGTACAAGGAGGGGTTTGTACCCTCTACAGAAAGGTTCCGTAACAACCTACCAAGCCTATATTAAATTATAACATATATAATTTTAACACCATTCCAGCAAAAATCCTTGGTTAAGTACTCGTGGTTGCAGATTCTATACTTAAGTCTCCTGCACACCACCTGTTCGAAATATTACAATGACTGGTTCATCACCAGCACTGTCTACCGGATCAATTTCCGGAACTACTGGAGTACATATCTCCACGACCCCCACTGGTCTCTCAGCCTCTGGACCGTTTCCAACGGCTTATGCGCATATCGGTATGCAACAGAAGCAGTAGCATCAGCAGCAGAATCCGTCTTCTGTCAGTACTCCAGGGATGTCATCAACTGCCCCTGCAGCACAACAACAACAATCACAGACAACAGCACAGCAACAAGCGTCAGTACAACCACCAGTCTCAACCCAATCAATTTCATCCGCGTTCAGTGGAATGAGCCTTGATGGCTCGAGTTACATGCGTGGAGCCACAGCTCCTAGTACTGGTTCGTTCGCTTTCTCACCTTTTGTACAGCAGCCGCAGTCGCACCAGTTTTAGCATCCTTTCTACATCTTCGGTCGTTCCTCTGCTCAGCAACAACAGCAGCATCAACAGCCACAGCAATTCCAACAACAACAGCAACAGCAACAACAGCAACAGCTGGGCATTATTTTTCAGCCTCCAAATTTACTTA